TTTAAATTCAGACAAAAGTATGCTGAACAAAACAGAAATTTTAAACACTATTTTTTCTTAATATATATAACTATTGAATTAATCTAATATGTATATAGAAACAAAAAATGTCTTTGTGCAAAGTTAAAAGTAAGAAGGTGGACTGGGCGCATTAAAATACAAATCTTCAATTTCTCTATTCAAATTGGAATTTACACATTCAATCGAATTAGAAACATTATTTCTATAAGCCCCATTTTCCAATGAAATTTCAATTTCAATCCTGTAGCATCTCAATCCAATCAAGATCGCCCTTTCGAAGACAACCGTTTTAAAACAAAATAACTTGAGCAAAAGTATGGAAAAATTAACTAGACGTTGTCATGTACCACACTTTAACGTACGCACCTTAATATCTAAACGACATTTGAATCCAAGCCGAATAATTCCATTTTAAATTTAAATTATCTGGCCTAAGAGTCTCATGCATTTGACGAACAAATTAATTAATGTTATTTTTGCGCTGCCCTAAGTAAGATCGCTCAACACCATTTCCAGAAACAAAGATAACCTTTTGGTCTCACACTCCAAAAAGGATGATTCTCGAAATCAAGCGTTAACAAAATTTGATAGTTAAAGTGCGGCTGTTTCGTCCGCAAAAACAGATACTCTGCCAATTTCTGTCGATACACCATATCAGTTTATATCGCGATCGTTTTCTTTACCAAAAACTCTTTTGAAAATCCTAAACAGTATCTTCGTCCAGTTGTAATTTTTAATATAAATAAATAATAAGTTCTTTTATAATAAACTTATACATTTCTATCAAGTGTTTTGTATCTTATTTTATAAAATAAACGTGTTTGTTATTTTCTATGTAAGTTATTTTACAATAGTGAAAAACTAATGATATTTTATTGACCTAATTTCATAATATTATGAAATACAAAAATTAAACAGATGAAATGGCAAAGAAAATCGACAAAAAAAACGTTTGGTCGTTGTAGTCGGAAGTAATTTCTTCAACAAAGTCTCTGAGGTCTCCATTGTGAATTGTTTTTTAAAAATTTTTGTTTGCCACTTATATTACTT